CTTTCATTTCTCCAGTTGAAAATCGAGATGGAGCTCAGTGTAGAGTGCTTCCCTAGAAACACAGGAGCTGGGTCCCATGCCCCATCCCAGCACAGAAAAAGAAAAAAGAAAGAAAGAAACAACAAAAAAACTGAGATAACTTTTTTTTTTTTTTTGGCACAATACTGGGGGTTGAACTCTGGGCCTCGGGCTTGATAGTTGATAGGCAGGTGCTTACTGCTTGAGCCAGGGCCCCAGCTCTAGAGAGAATCCTAATTGAGTTTGCTCCTAGCTCAAGGCATGTCAGACGGGTATAGCGGCTTTTTGTGTCTGCTCGTCTTAGAGAAGTACTGGCACCACCTACTCAGTACTTAGAAATTGTTAAGTTCTTGGTATTGTCCCATCTTCCTAACACAACGTAATGTTTGTAGTTGTTTTTCTAGACCTAGACTGTTGTAATCAATAGTTGTCATTTCTGAGTCACTATAAATACTCAGGGCCACTGTGCAGTGGCTCAGGCCTGTAATTATAATTAACCAGGAGGCAGAGATAAGGATTTCAGTTCAAGGCCAGCCCAGCGAAAAGTTAGCGAGATCCCATCTCAACTAATTAATCCAACATGGTGGGGTGCAACTCTAATCCCAGCTGTAAGGGAGATAGGAAGATTGTGGTCTATGCTATCCTGGGAAAAAAACTTGAGACCCTATCTAAAAAAATAACTACAATGAAGAAGGACTGGGGGCATGGCTCAGATGACAGAGTGCCTGCCTCAAACCCCACTACTGGCTGGGCACTGGTGACTCACTCCTGTAATTCTAGCTACTTGGGATGCTGAGATCTGGAGACTTGAGGTTCAAGGGTAAACAGTTCTGGAGACACACCCCCATCTCCAAATTAACCAGAGCAAAATGGACTAAAGGTGTGGCTTAAGCGGTAGAACACCTGCTTTGTAAGCACAAAGCCCTCATTTCAAACCCCAGTCCCATACGCACACAAAAAATCCTCAATACTGCAGAAAACATCAACAACAACAAAATACTAACTCTCAAATACTTGATCATACAATAACTAACCCCATGAAGGGTGATAGGGAACCCCTAAACCAGCTGAGTCCTCCCCATGTGCCTCCTTCTTTAGCTGTGAGGCTATGAGGAGGGGCGTCTCCCCCATCCAGAGGGGATCGCCCTCCTTGCGGTGGGTGTGCTATTGAGCATTCAGATCCGCCAGGACAAAGCTGTCACACCTGCAGCTTCCTTGTCTGAGGCCAGAGCAGCCTGGCCTGAGAGGTGATTTGCTGGGGCCCCAGGAGATCAACCGCAGCTCTGATGTGGCTTCAGTGGATGCAGCCCTCCCCGAGCAGCCACAGCCTGTCGGTGCTATGGGAACAGGCAGTGTGCGTGGACTGGGAGGTAGGGTCCCAGCTCTCCAGTGATTAGCACAGCAATGTCAGGATGGACAATTTGGAACCTCTGCTATTTGCAAGTCCCAATTGGGCACTTGGTGCATCATTTGCATATCATTCTGCATACTTGATAATTGTCATTTGTTGATATATATGTATATATGTATATGTATGTATGTGTGTTTTTTTTTTTTTTTTTTTTTGCAGTACTGGGGTTTGAACTCAGGGCCTACACCTTGAGCCACTCCACCAGCCCTTTTTTGTGATGAGTTTTTTTGAGATAGGGTCTCTCGAATTATTTGCCCAGGCTGGATTTGAACCGTGATCCTCCTAATCTCTGTCTTCTGAGTTAGCTAGGATTATAGGTGTGAGCCGTCGGCACCCAGTTGATATATCAGTATTAGGTATACAAATTGAGAAATTTTTCAAAACGGAAAACTACCCAAGCACATTATCTCACAAATGATGTCATCACACATGATTTGGCTTGGGGAAAATTCTGTCTTTTCATGAGAGAATGAAAGAGAATCAGACAAATGAGGGCTGGGTGTAGCTCGTGGTAGAGCCCTTGCCTCGCTTGCACAAGGGCCTGGTTCCATCCTGTCCTGGGGGTTGGAGGAAAGACAATGAGATCTTAAAACGCTTATGAAGAGACTTTTGACTTTGTAGACCTCCTAAGAAAGTCTAGGGGACCCCCAGTTTGAGCACTGTTGGACTCTAGCCTGGCAGCTCTAAGATTCCAAGGTTCAAACAAAGCACCTGGAAGTCCATTGAAGCCACAGTCAGGGCAGAAAAATTCTCTGTCTTTAAGATCCTTGATGACATAGAGGAGGAAGAATCAAACTCTTCCTCTGCCTTGTAGGTCATCTGAATGGGAACTGAATTAAACTGACAAAAGGTTGATTAACAGGAGAGAAGGCATATAAACTCGATTTGATTTACTTCTTTTTTGCTGGTGCTGAGGATCAAACCCAGGGCCTTGTGCATGCTAGGCAAGCACTCCAACACTGAGCTACACTCCCAGCTACACAGATAAAAGTCTCCATTAAAAATAAGTGAAGACTCAAACAAGTTAGACTGGGGGCTTCTACACCATTTTAACAAATGGCAGTAAATTGTGGAAAAGTGAGACACAAAGGAAAAGGGACAGTAACTTGTGTGCATGTAAGTATATGGAGAAACTAATAGGGTTTGTGCAGACCCGTGAATCCTGTGATGCAGGTCATTCTCAGGTTTGGGGGGAGGAGGAACACTGTCACAGAGGGGTACTTACGCCCTCTTTTAGGGAGATAGAAGGAAGGCAAAGCCCTATTCCTGCATTTGCTGCTGCTCTTTTTTTTTTTTTCAGTAATACTTCTGAGTTGCTTTCAGCTTATTTTTTTTTTCATTTTTCTTTTATTATTCATATGTGCATACAAGGCTTGGTTTATTTCTCCCCCCTGCCCCCAACCCCTCCCTTACCACCCACTCCACCCCTCCCGCTCCCCCCTCAATACCCAGCAGAAACTATTTTGCCCTTATCTCTAATTTTGTTGTAGAGAGAGTATAAGCAATAATAGGAAGGAACAAGGGGTTTTGCTGGTTGAGGTAAGGATAGCTATACAGGACATTGACTCACATTGATTTCCTGTGCGTGGGTGTTACCTTCTAGGTTAATTCTTTTTAATCTAACCTTTTCTCTAGTTCCTGGTCCCCTTTTCCTATTGGCCTCAGTTGCTTTAAGGTATCTGCTTTAGTTTCTCTGCATTAAGGGCAACAAATGCTAGCTAGTTTTTTAGGTGTCTTACCTATCCTCACCCCTCCCTGTGTGCTCTAGCTTTTATCATGTGCTCATTGTCCAATCCCCTTGTTGTGTTTGCCCTTGATCTAATGTCCACATATGAGGGAGAACATACGATTTTTGGTCTTTTGAGCCAGGCTAACCTCACTCAGAATGATGTTCTCCAATTCCATCCATTTACCAGCGAATGATAACATTTCGTTCTTCTTCATGGCTGCATAAAATTCCATTGTGTATAGATACCACATTTTCTTAATCCATTCGTCTGTGCTGGGGCATCTTGGCTGTTTCCATAACTTGGCTATTGTGAATAGTGCCGCAATAAACATGGATGTGCAGGTGCCTCTGGAGTAACAGTCTTTTGGGTATATCCCCAAGAGTGGTATTGCTGGATCAAATGGTAGATCGATGTCCAGCTTTTTAAGTTGCTTTCAGCTTATAATCTTTATCCAAAATAGCATACGTGAGGTGGCCTATCTGATCTTCCGTTAATAATAATAATAATAATAATAAATAAAAGACAATAGCAGATACTGAGGTTATAGCACCTAAGGGTCTCCCTTCTGGAATGCCCTGGTGGGGGTAATATTTTGGGGGAGTGTGTGTGGTGCCAGGTAGGCAAGGCAGCTGCAGAGGGAACAGAAGGGCCCCCTCTCCCTACTTCCTCAGCCCAGGCAGTAGTCCTGGAGGACAGGGAGGAGAGGCTGCCCAAGTCAAAGGGCACCAGGAGGTGCACAGCAGCCAGGAGGGAAGAGGAGGATCCCCTGAGCTGGGGAGAGGGTGGAGCAAGTGGCTGGTCCTTGGGAGCATGTGGGATACCAGGAAATCAGCGCTGGCCCCACAGAAAGGATTTTTCTTCTTAGGATGCCTGGATAGTTCTGGCTCTTCTGTTCCCTGCAGCCTGTGCTCCGGCACCCTGCCACTTGGCTGTGGGCTCTGTGTAGAGCCAGTATTCCTGGGTCAGGCTGGCAGCCTTCCCCTTGGGGAAGTGTCTCCCACACCCTTCTCTTAGCGCTATTCTTCCTGCTGTGCTACAAACACAGGTGGCGGAGTGTGCCTCTCCCACTGAGTTGCACATCCTGCTCCGCAGGCACTGTCTTCTAGCATCTGCACATCCCTTCCAGTGCTTAGCCCAGATCCCTGCACACCACAGGTGCTTAATGAATGTCCAAGAAAGAAACTGAACGCCTGCATGTTATCACTCCCCGTCCTCCTTCACCCTACAATCTCTGCAAACTCTCTCACCTCCTGTCCTGACGCTGACTAGCCTGTGAACTTGGTGAGGAACTGAGACCTGGGCTGAAGAGGATGGAGGGGGCTGCAAGGAGCCAAAACCCCAGCCCCACCCAGCCCCTATCAGGGCAACGGGACTGTCCAATTGCAACCTGCCAAGTGGGCACTCTAGGGTGTGTGTGTGGTGCTAGGCCTCATTCGTCTAAGCACCCACTCTACCACTGAACTGCACCCCCTGCCCTGGGGGATGTCTGTAAACCCTTCCTCACATGCATCTCTTTCCCTCAGCCTCTTTCTCCTTTGTCTTACCCACTCCCAGCTCTTCTCACTGTGGCCTAATCACATCGCACTTGTCCCTAATGGCCTCAAGATAAAGAAGCATTGGGCAGGCAAGGAAGTGAGACAGAGAGGTAAAACGAGTTGGGAGACCTGATCATTACGGGGCTATTGAGCAGTCCCTGTTCCAGGTGTGGGCACAGGCAGACATCCCAGCCTCATGGTGTCGAAGGCGTTATGGGGGAAGGCGGGTTAAGGACCTGCCCATAAAACAGCAAAGAACGTGTCAAGGGCCACAGAAGACACTGATGAGGAAAGTGCGTGTTAGGGATGACTGGGGCTGGGAAAGTGAGTCCTGTTCTGCTCCCCTCTGATGTCTGCTGGGGATCATGCTTTGTCCCCAGGTCTACGAACTAAATGGGACAGTCCACAACGGCTTGTGGGTAGTGAAGGCTTACCAAGAAGTGGTTAAGAATTTTCAAAAGACTCATCGTGGATTTATGGGCCTCAGACTCATCTTTTCGGATTCCAGGTGAGAAAATATCACTGAAGCTTCTGGAGTTGGGATAGTGGGGTAGGGAGGGAAGAGGAGAGAGGATGGGTGTGAGAAGGGGGGCTGGGGGCTGTGAGTCAAAGACTCAGCTCTTGGTGGGGCCAAGTGGTGGCTTGGTCTGTGCATTTGTGTGTGAGTGCCACGTCAGGATTTATCCTCCAAATGCCTTCTAGTTCAGGTCTTCCCAACCAAACTGGAATGAAAAACTTGTCCTTTTCCAGATAATTCTAGGCCATGAGACAACACTGGCCTGGGTGACTCAGTGAAGGGCATGGGTGTTTTTGCCTGAATTTTTTTGCTTCCCTTTGCCAGTGGGTTTCTGCATAATGTCAGCTGCGTGCTGTGTGTGGGGCCTTGCTGGTCACAGGTCCTGAGACACTGGCTCAGGTCACTATGTAGAGACCACAGCAGTGATGTTTATGTGTCTTGAAGAAGGCTCACTAATTCCCCAGGCAAGCACAGAAAGCTTTATAGCCTAATTTGCCTTCTGATGTTACCAAACCAAGAGCTGTACCCTTGGTTGAAAAGCAGCTAGTCTGTGGTTGTGACTTGACCCCAGCCAGAGTCCTAGGGAAAGCAGGTAAATGGGTGTCACATCGAGTCAGGGCTCTGGAGGGGAACCTATGATACTGGGCAGCAACTCTAGCTGCTCAGCTCACCATGAGGCAGGGCTCTGGAGATCCCTGAGATTCCCAGGAGCCTCCCTCTTCCTGTAGGACTTGGGGGCCTCTAGGAACTGAGTCCCAGACTGTGTGCCTGACCCCCAGGATGGAGCTGCAGGATGGGCCAGCTGGTGGCTCTCAGAAGCTCTGTGGAGGCAGCAGTGCCCTACTTCCCCCTCTTAGGGCTGATCTGAGAGGACTTGTTGTCTCCCGTGGTCTCTTAGGCTCTGGAGGAGGGGCCACGGGTGTGTGTGTGGGGGATGATAGCTTAGTGTCACCCCAGAATTGAGGATTGAAACAGGTGACCTAGTGGCTGGGCAGAGACCTGTGTCCTGTCATGGAGTTATACCATCTTCTGTCACTTGGTGCTTTTGTGGTTAGGCTGCTCGCCTCACCCCCAACCTGGACTAGAAGGGAGGGGGTGAGAGGGATGTAGACAGTTTGGTTACAAGTATCTGGGTCCCCAGGGTCCTGCTGACCTAATCAGCGAGTGGCTTTGTAGTTACTGAGGACCCAGGTGACCTGTGTGTCTCACAGGTGTCCAGTGCACAGCCAACCAGCTTCCATTTCTGCCACCCACAAGTTTGGGACAAGCCACTTTGGCTCCTGAGCCCCTACGTCCACTACTTCTCAGAGACAATGGCTCCTGGGTGGGAAGGTGAGGTCATGGCAGGGTTCACATGGGCAGCAGACTGGAGGCTGGCTGAGTGCTCTGGCATCCAGCATCCACAGGACTGAGGGAGCCAGAAAGGATATGTGATTCTGTGTGGGGTGAGTGGCACCATCTCCCAGCTTCTCTCTCTCTCTCTCTCTCTCTCTCTCTCAGATCCAGAAGTGTGGCTATCGTCGCAGATTCTGTTCGAAAAGCCATGGGCCTTCAGTATCACTTCCCTGGGATCATGGCGGGGTTTGACCTGGTAACCCATTCTGCAAAGGCTCCTAAGAAGGAGGCCCTAAGGGTGGCTGGAGGCAGGGCAGGCAGGCAGCTGTTTGTGAGGGGCACACCTTGTGCTGTGCGGAGCAGACCTGTCCCCCACCCCCACACACTCTAAGACCCTGGGGCTCAGGCTGCATATCCCTTAGAGCTGGCAGGGTGTAGCACAGGCGCTGAGGGGTATAGCAGCTGCAGGAGAAGGACCAGATAGCTAAAAAGAAAAATTCCAAAAAAAGGAGGAACTTAGGGTGTTTAGACAATCATTACGGGGCTATTCCCCGTTCGTTCCCTTACCCTCTGCCCTTTCTCTAGCCCATCTTGGGCACCTATATGTCTCACTTTCCCCTGTGGCACACAGAAGGGTGGAGTCCAAGATGGCTGGCCCTGGGCAAACTGTCAAGGGCAGAAGATTTGTCTCCTCCTCCTTTATCCCATTTGCTTCCCCACCTCATCCTCCCTCCACTGCCCCTTATCCCCCAAACCATGACCCTCCTGATCTCTGTCTCCTAAGTAGCTAGGATTATAGGATTGAGCCACCAGAGCCCGGCTTAGTAGACCAGTAGGCTCAGAATGACCAGTAGGTCATTCTTAAAAGTTTCTAGCAGCCAGGGCAGGGCATAAGGAAGGGTGTTCCTCGATGCAGTGGAGGCCTGTACAAGTGGGCACCTCCATTTCCCTCTTCTTGGTCCTGCAGGTGGGGCGTGAGGACACTGGCCGCAGCTTGTACTCCTACAGGGAGGCCCTAACAATTCCAGTCAAGCACAGGATTAAACTACCTTACTTTTTCCATGCTGGGGAGACAGGTGAGTCGCACAGGACACAAGAGAACAGGGAGTCCATGGGAGAGCTGCTTATTTACACGCAGGGCCTGAGGGTCCAGGGGCGGGCAGATCCACACCTCCTGATGGAATCTGTGGGCACTGTCAGGCCCATTTCCCATGGATCACCTCACTTAATCCTGACAGTAGGAAAAGCAGGGACAGTAACCGTGTCTTGCATTCACATGCAGTATTTCCAGTCTTAACCCTAGTCCTGCTGGGAAATGTTTTCATCCCCAGAAAGGAGCCCAAGAGTCCACAGGTCGTGTTCGCAGTCCAGGATTCAAGAGCTGCTAAGTAGTGGAACCTGAATTGGAACTCTTCCTGGTGATCTCCATTTAGTTAATTAATTAGTTGATTAATTAGTAGGACTGGGTTTTGTGCTTGCAAAGCAGGCACTCTACTGTTCGAGCCACACCTCCAGTCTATTGGCCTGGAACAACAATTCTGATATCAGCCTCCAAAGTAGCTAGAATTAGGATTACAGATGTGAACCACTCGCACCTGCCTGGTGACCTCCATTTTAAGAGTGAACTGTGAATGAGAAGTTAACTCATCCAAAATCACATGGTGGGAGACTGGCGGTGACCACTAGACTCAGGTCTGCTCTGTCCCGCTGAAGAAGAGGTCCGCCCTGCTCTAAGCAGCACCTGCTTCTAGCCCTTCAGACATGCCTTTAGCCCAGCGATGTCTTTGTTCCCCAAAAACTCAATCCGTGGGCTCTTGAAGTCATCTCTCAGTCCCTCTCAAATTTTGATCCTTCAGATGTGTCAACTCCAAGGGTTGGGTGTGGTAGTGCATGCCTGTGATCTCAGCTACTGGGGAGGCATAGGTAGGAGGATCAAGGTCTGAGGCCAGCTCTGGGGCAAAACCCCAAGACCCTATCTGAAAAATAACTAAAACAGAAAGGACTGGAGGTGTGGCACAAGTGGCAGAGCAAGTGCAAAGCCCTGAGTTCAGATCCTAGTACTGCCAAAAAAAAAGGTCAAATCTAATCAACGATCACAACTTCACTTCTAGATCAAAAGGGTGATGGGGGAGGGGTGTTCCCATGGGGGTCTAGCCCAGGAGGGGAGCTCTGCAGCACCCCCTGGTGCCATGGGCACCTGTCACCCTCAGAAAACTCAGGAGGTGGGGGTGGGGGTGAGGAGCCTGCATCTCACAGACTCAACCTTGCTTTGTCGCTTCATCTTGCAGAGGAAGACCCCGTGCATTCATCTCTTTTCTCTGACATTTCAAGTCAATTTAGATCCAATTTAGATCCAAGCCTGCTCTGGGAGATTGAAAGAATTGTTCCCAGGGTGGTGGGGGTGCTGGGGTGAGGAAAGGGTTGCTAACCTTGAACAGCTTGTGGCCTAATTGGGGAAGTTACACTTACCTATGTGAAAAACTCTCTACAGCACCAAACTGTAACACAGGACCAACCAAATTCTAATACTTAGGGTTGTTGGAGATGATTTTATCAGGACTTGAATGTCTAAGCTTCAAAGTAACATTCTTATTTATTTATTTGGCAGAACTGGAGTTTGAACTCAGGGCCTTGTGCTTGCTAGGCAGGTGTACTGCCACTTGAGTCACTCCCCCATACCTTATTCATTTTTGAGACAGGGTCTTGCTCCTGCTTCAGTCTCCCAAGAGTTGGGATTCTAGGTGTGTGACACCATTCATAGCAGTAGTGTTGCCATTTAAAAAAAAAAAAAAGGAAATGTTTAAAAAACCAGTGAAAAAGCCAGGTGTGGTGGCGAATGCCTGTAATCCTAGCACTTGGGAGGCTGAGATGTGAGAATCAAGAGGTTGAGGCCAGCCTGGCCTGCAGAGTGAGACCCCGTCTCAAAAAAAGCAAAACCTTTCCAGGCTTGGTGGTTGGATCTGTCATTACTACTTGGGAAGTGATGATAGGAGGATCCAGGTTCGAGACCAGACTGGGAAAAGTTAGTGAAACCTTATCTGAAAAACAAATTGAATGCAAAAAAACCGGGGCAGGGTTCAAGTGGTAAAGTGCTTGTCCAGCAAGCAAGAGGCCCTGAGTTCAATCCCCAGTTCCACCTAAAAACCATAAAAAGGTGAGATTATACACAAAATGCATTCCCTAAATAGCACTGGGAATTCTTGGGCTGATGGAGTGGTTTGAGTGGTAGAGTAGCAACTGCCTCGCAAGCGTGAGACTCTGAGTTCAAGCCCCAGTGCCGCCAAAAAAGCCAAACAAGCCATGAGAATCCATGAGTTTTATTTAATTTAATTTATTTTTGCAGTACTGGGGTTTGAACTCAAGGCCTACACCTTGAGCCACTCCACCAGCCCTTTTCTGTGATGGGTTTTTCAAGATAGGGTCTCACAAACTATTTGCCTGGGCTGGCTTCAAACCTCGATCCTCCTGATCTCTGCCTCCTCCATAGCTGGGATTACAGGTGTGAGCCACAGTGCCTGGCTTTGAGTTTTATTCCTAACAGAAAAGGGGAATTGTCGCATTTTATATGTATCTTCTTTGTTTTTCAGCATAACTGGGGTTGTATTTTATAAGAAGATCAGTTAGGATGCCTTTGGCTACCAGAATGGAGTATGTCCATCCAATGGATTTTCCAGTAGGGCCCATTTGTTATTTCATATAATAAGCCATCTACTGTATTCACTGGATTGTTATTTTTGTCAGATGACGACCATCTCCAGTGAAGCAAAATGTGAGAAATTTCCCCCAGTGTAGTTTATTTTTTAAACAGTACTGGGGCCTGAGCTCAGGACTTCAAACTCATGACTTCGTTCTTGCCAGGCAGATACAACCACCTAAGCCATGCCTCCAGCCCCATGAGTCTTTTTTTTTTTTTTTTTCTTTTCCTTTTTAAATTAGGGAGAGATCTCAGGAGCTTCCAACAAAACACCTCCCTGGCCAGCATTAGGACTATCTGAACTGCAAAGGAGGCTAGGGAGGCTAAGATCTGTCACTTCACCCTGTAAAGAGGGTCTCAGCAGCAAGGATAGTGTGGTGGGATGGCTGGGAGGAGGCAGCCAAGATCAGCTGCCCTAGCTTTATCAGTGGTGGCCCTTGGGATCTAGCAGTTGACAGTCTGAAGAGTACTGTTAGGCAGGTGATTCATGCCTATAATCTCAGCACTTGGGAGGCTGAGACAGGAGGATCTTGAGTTCAAAGCCAGCCTGAGTCTGAGCTTCTGAGCAAAATACTGTCTCAGAAGAAAAAAAGAGTACAAGAAAGCAAGTGCAGGTAGGTAATTATTCAGACATTATAAATAAGAGTCTGTAGTACATTGTTATAAAGATCATTGTTGTAAAGAGTCTCAGAAAATAGCTCAAAAACAAAAAAGGGAAGAAAGAATGACTGTGGGACCAGACAGACCAAAGTTTGAAGCTCAGTTTTGATACTAGTTGAATGCCATCCTTGGTCAATTTATAAAAACTTTGGAAGGAGCTGGGGATATAGCTCAGTGGTAGAGCACTCACCTAGCATGTGTGAGGTCCTGGGTTCAATTCCCTAGCACCACAAAACAAACAAACAACAAAAACCCAAACTACGTACCTATGTTAAGTTTCAGCTTCTTCACCTGATTAATAGATGAAAGAAAGGAAAAGAACAGGCATACCATACGAGGAAAGTGTGTGTATATATTTGTGTTAATATTTTTTGTGGGACTTGAATTCAGGGCTTCACACTTGCAAAGTAGGCACTCCACTGCTTGAGCCACATCTCCAGTCCATTTTGCTGTGGATATTTTGGAGATGGGGTCTCACAAACTATTTGCATGGGCTGGCCTCAAACCATGATTCTCCTGATCTCAGCTCCCAAGTAGCTAGGATTATAGGCATAAGCCAAGCCACCAACTCTTGGCTCGTGTTAATAATAATTTACCTTCCTTTGCCTGGCAGAGTTGGAGTCTTTACCTGAGGCTGGTATGGGGTCTGATCCATCCTTTCCTATTGCACTCTCTCCCTTTATCCCCAGACTGGTATGGAACCTCCATAGACGGAAACCTTGTGGATGCTGTGATACTGAATGCTACCAGGATTGGCCATGGATTTGCTTTAACCAAACACCCTCTAGTCAGGGTTTACTCCCAGGAAAAGGACATCCCAGTAGAAGTCTGTCCCATTTCCAATCAGGTATGCATGATTTGTGGGACTAACCCAGTATGACTTCCCCAACCTCAGCCTTTATTCTGATCCCCCAACTTCCCTGTGTCCTTTCTGTCCTAACTGTCCATGCCCATTAGTAAAGCAACTTACAGATGGCCTTTCCTCAACTATTTGCAGTAAGGACTGCAGTAAGGGTTCTCAGTGGGTGGAATTATTGGGCAAAACTGTGCACGAACTGAAAGTGGAGGTGGGTCAGGCCAGTGACGTGAGAAGGGGCCCCGGGTACTGCTGCAGCAGCCATGCCTTGTGCACCTGTTGTCTTGCTGTACTCAGGAGAGCCTTTCTGAGCCAGATCAAGAGTGAGTCAGACCAGACACTGTGCTGCCGCTCAGCCTCAGAGAGCGTTAGGAAGATGTGAGGCCTAGCTCTACCCCCAGAACTCCAAATGGGGACGCGGAAGGAGGTGGTCACACTCCAGGACTCACCTCCCTTTTGACTCATCTTTTCCATGGATCAACATTTGTTTTCTGCCTTGCCTCCTTTTGGGCAGGTGATGAAGCTGGTGGCAGACCTGAGAAATCACCCTGCAGCCTCACTGATGGCCTCTGGACATCCCATGGTGATCAGCTCTGACCACCCGGCTCTGTTTGGTGCCAAAGGCTTGTCCTATGACTTCTATGAGGTCTTCATGGGGATTGCAGGGAATAAGGCTGACCTGAGGACCCTCAAGCTACTGGTCACAAACTCTATCAAGTAAGTGTACAGACCCTTTCCTCTTCCACCCCACAACTTTTTTCTTTCTTTTCTGCCACCTCTGGGTGCTGGGGATGGAGCCCAGAACCTTGTGCATGCTGGGTAAGTGCTGCACCCCTGCCTTCCACCCAGACCCACTCACAACTTGTGTTTGCCTCTCCCAGAGATTTGAGGCAGACACCAGTGGTTTCTGGGGTCCCCCATAACACCACTCTTTCTTGCTTTTGGTCATGCGTGCTCTGCAGGCATGTAAGGTCCCCTCATTCGTCCCCTGCTGGTCCCACGCCCTTCCAAGCTGACCTGAGCTCTTCCTGCAGGTACAGCTCCGTGGTGAAGTCGGAGAAGGACTTTCTCATGAAAGTCTGGTGGATCAAATGGAACCAGTTCATAGAAAAGCTGGCCCAGAGGCGAAGATGAAGTGAGCAGCCTTCCTTGCATCTCCTTCCCTCCACGCCAATTCAGCCTACTTCTGTAGTCCTAGAGCCATGCTGGCCCAGCCTTCTCCATTTCGGTCTCAAAAGTGACCTTGTGAAGGTTGCCGATGGCCTCTGCATGGCTTGACGGGTCAGAAACACTTGATCAGCGGGCCACACTCATCTTTTTCACATACTCTGCTCTCTTGGCCTTGGTGACATTCACCCTCTCTGTGCCCCCTCACTCTGCCCTTGCTCAGGTCCCCTTTCCCAGAGCCTTTCTCTCTGTGTGGTCTCCTCCCAGCTCGGTCCTGGATGACTCCTCTGCTCCCGTCTCTTTCTTTCTCTCCTTTTTCTCTTCTCTTCACCTATACTCATTTTCTAGGCGTTTCTCATTCTCGCTGCCTGCCGTGTGCTCTACCTGCCTGTCCACCTTCAGGTTCCACCCTGGCCACCCTCTCAGAAGGCTTCTGGAGCCCCCCTGGCCTGGTACTCTGGCTGGTGGCAACTGCTCTTCTTCATGGTTCCCACAACAATTTGTAATCATGATTGATTTCTGTTTGCAGTCTAGTCCCACCAAAAAGGCCACGTGGATGGGCACTCATGAGTGTCTCTCTGAGCTGTAGACTCAGCGCCTAGCCCTGCCCCCAGACCTAGTTAGTACTTAATAAAGAATGTGTTGAATGCATGGTTGTCGCCTATAGCTGCTTTTTTTTTTTTGTGGTGCAGGGATTGGAACCCAGGACCTTGGGCATGCTAGGCAAGTGCTTTGCCATTGAGCCCACCCAGGCCCCTCTGTAGCTGTCCAGTGGTTGCTGAGGCAGGAGGACGCAGATCAGTCTCTTCCTAAAGGGCCTTGAATGATCAGATTTCAGCTCTTAGCCTGGTCTTTGGAGAAAGAAGGCCAGAAAGCCAGTCCTGTTCTCACCCAGCTATAGGCTACGAGGGAGAACCCAGCATTCCTTGAAGTCCCAAGTGACTCTGTGTCTGTCCCTGTCCATCTTCCATCCATCGCCTATATCTGAGCATTCAGGCAGCAGCCAGCCTCTCTCCACATGCAGCTCAACATTGCTTGGTTCATAGTCCTGGAGAAGGCTTTGCTGTCAGGGGTTCCCAACCATAGGTGGTACCCAGGTGATACAAGATGAGCACTAAGATCCTGTCTAATTCTGAGGGTCCTTCATTGCTTTAGTCAGTCACAGCTCAGGTGACTTACCTGTAATGACTGGTGAAAAAGGAACAGAGCAGATTAGCTTTTTGTAGCATGTTGCCATGACTATGGAGGGGGGGCCTCCCCCACCACCCAGAGGGGTCTCTGGCCTGGACTTGGAGTGAGCCAGTTACAGTCCTGCCTTTCTGTCCAGTTCTTCCTTGCTCTAGTGTCTGGTTTTACAGCTCTCTTGAACCAAATGGCCATGGAATATTTTTCTTTTATTTAGATATAACTGCAAGCCTTTACATAAGTTGCAAGAATAGTATTCTTGAGCTGGGAGCATGGCTCAGTGGTATAGCGCTTTCTTTGCTTGCTGGGTTAAATCCCAAGTCCTGCAAAAAAACAAAACAAAACAAAACAAAATAAAAGCCTAGAGTTTTTTAGCGTTATTAGAATATGCTCTGCTTGGCTTCCCCAATTGTTAATATTTTACATTTGCTATTATTATCTTACATTTTTCTAACAAATTGCACACAATATTCCTAAATTCTCCAGTGGTTTTTCCGTTTGTTTGTTTGAGACAGGGCCTTGCTATATAGCCCAGGTTTACCTCAGACTTGTGATCCTGCTGCCTCAGTCTCCTGAGTGCTGGGACTACAGGTGTGTACCGCCATGCCTGGCTCCAGTGGTTTTTAGTATAGTCAGATACATGAGAATTTTAGCAAATATTTATACCCAATTACAAACGCTGTGCTTTCCCCAAAGACACTCTTCTATGTAACCATGGTACATCCATTCACGTCAGGAAATTCACTAGATGACTCTGCCATCTAGCCCTGGCCCTGCCAAGTTTTTTCCTGGGACATGTGTTGCATTCAGTTGCCTTCTAGTCTTTTTCAATCCTAAATAGATCTCAGTCTTTCCTTGTCTTTTGTGACATCAATTTTTTTTGGCAGTACTGGGGCTTGAACTCAGAACCTCAAACTTACTAGGCAGGTGCTCTACCACTTGTGCTACTTGCCAGCCCGTCCTCAACATTTTTGATGAGTACATTCTTGTAGAATGTCTCTCATTGCAGTTTGTATAATGTTTCATTATGGAGAGATTCAGGTTGTTGTTCTTTCTAAATTATTATTATTATTTGAAGATGGCTGTCTCCATCTTCCTGCCTGAGTACTGGGACTACAGGTGTAGCCACCTTGCTCTGTTTGTGGGAGGGTTCTTGTTTTGTTTTCCTAACAGTACTAGGCATGGAATCCTGGGCCCTGCGTGTACTAGGCAAGTGCTCTACCACTGAGCCACACTTCCAGACCCATTTGTGGGAGTTTTCATAGCATGAAAATCAGCAAATGTAGCCAGGAGCTGGTGGCTCACACCTGTAATCCTAGCTACTCAGGAGGCAGAGATCAGGAGGATCATGGTTTGAAGCCAGCCCAAGCAGATAGTTCATGAGACCCTATCTAAAAAAAACCCATTACAAAAAAGGGCTGGTAGAGTGGCTTGAACCTAGCACCTGCCTAGCAAGTGTGAGGTCCTGAGTTTAAACTCCAATGCCACCCCACCAAAAAAAAAAACCAAAAAAACAAAAATCAACACATGTTACAAAGCAGTGTCCCCAGCAATCAGCTGATAAACGTTTACCAGCACTCTGATGCATATGGTGTCAATTTGTCTCAGCAGAATGATCACTTTTCTCGGGTGGCACCCAAGGCAATTTACAGTGACTCCATTATAAAGTCACCATTTTCCCCTCTGTGACTGGTGTCTGATACATGTTTTGTGGGGACATGCTCCACTCTGTAAAAATCTTGCTCCTTGTCAGAACCTGACCTCCTTGCTTTGGCATCCAGCGAGGGTGTTGGTCTGAATCTGCCCTTGCCACTGTGGCTGCTGTCTGTGTATTTACTGCTGTGTAACAACTTAGAGGCTGACAGTGGCAGAGCACTTGTCTAGTCTGCCCCAGGCCCTGCGTTCTGTCCTCAGCAACAAAAGAAGTAAGTAAATAAAGGCTTAATTATCTCTCACATGTCTGTGGCTCAGGAATTTGGGAAAGGCCTGACTGGCCAGTTCTGTTTTGCCATCTCTTCAGAGGCTGTAGAGTCAAAATAGTCGTGGAATGGCTAGCATGGTGGCAAATGCCTATAATCCCAGTTACTTAGAGGCACAGGTAGGAGGAGCCAGAGTTCCAGGTCAGCCCTGGCAAGTTATTGAGACCTTATCTGAAAAGTAAACCAAAAAGTAAAAGGATTGGGGTGTGGCTCAAGTGGCAGAGCCCTTCCCTAGCATGTGTGAGACCCCTGGTACCACACACACACACACACACAAAAGTAGTGGTGGAGCTGGAGTGGTGGGGGCTGGCCAGAGTCCCCCCTCTCTGCACAGTTCCCTGTGCACCAGCTATTGTGACACTGGAAAATATCATCACCCACTGGTGACCTTCTAATGCCACTATTTCTGCCATATTTACTAGCTGCTGTTCTGTTGTAAGGAAGAATTGTTTCTTTACCAATATGGCTGTCGGATTCCGATTTTATTCAGTGATCTACAATCTCTCACTGTCATTTATCAGTTAGTATTTATGGAGTGGTGCTCACACTATAACATCTTTACCCACAGGAACCCCAAGAAGCTGATGCCTGAAAGAAATCCTGTCATTTTTTGAACACTTCCTCAAGGACTTTCTGACACTTTTCCTGTCTCATGTCTGACAGCAACCATTTCTGCAGAAATGAATAACCACTTCCGGGTCCATGTATTTATTTGTTTGTTTATTTATTTACTGGGGAGTGAATTCATGGCTTCACACATGCTAAGCAAGAGTTCTACAGCTGGAGCCATACCCCAGCCCTTTTGTTTGTTTGTTTACTTTATCATTCTTACACTTACTCACATGTGTATACATTGTTTGGGCCACCTACCCCCCCCCCGCCCCATTTTGGTTTTGAGACAGTCTTGCTAAGTTTGCCAGGGTTGACCTGGAACTCAGAATCCTCCTGCCTTCCACTGCCTGAGTAGCTGGGATTACAGGTATGTACCACCGTAGTTTTTTTTTTTTTTAAGAGATGGGGTCTTCCTACATTGCCCAGGCTAGTGGGCTCAAGGGATCAAGGAAGGAATCCTCCTGACTCAGTCTCCCCAGTAGAACAGGCATGCACCACTGAGCTTGACTTCTGATTTCTTTTTTTTTTTTTGCAGTACTGGGGTTTGAACTCAGGGCCAACACCTTGAGCCACTCCACCAGCCCTTTTTGTGAAGGTTTTTTTTCGAGGTAGGGTCTCATGAACTATTTGCCCAGGCTGGCTTTGAACCGCAATCCTCCTGATCTCTGCCTCCTGAGTAGCTAGGATTACAGGCTCGAGCCACCAGCACCCAGCTGACCTCCCCATCTAGAGTAGGTTTTGCCCTTGCAATGCACCAGGTTGATGCCAACACCATGCCCTTGAACCTTCTGGACTGTGAACTACATAAATAAACAAAAACCCAGCCTCATGTACTTTGTTACAGTCATGGAAAATGGATAAAGAAAAGCACAGAGTTGTTAGGGCTGGAATCATGAGAATGAAGCAGACTTACAGCATTAAATAAAAATCAGGAGAGGCTAAGCTGCTGCCTGGGCTGCAATAGGCCAGGCTAAAAATCAAAATGGATTCTCTCACCAAACAGACGAAAATGAACTGGGGATTAGAGAGGAAACAGCCAACCTTCCCCAACTGTCCAGCTCAATTGCTATGAAAATGAAGTCCTCTCCGTCTTAATCCTTACACAAAAAAGGTAACCTGAAGCCACCTGAAGCCAGCCAATCAGTTATTCTCCTATTGTTCTGTCGCTGTGGGCCTTACCAGGAAAGCACT